TGAGTTGATTTGAAAAAAAATTTCCAGGGTTAGGCTGAATGATTTAATAAATATCAACTTTATTCTCTTTTTAATTATTACCCATATGCACTTTAGATTAAAAATATTACAAATTCTTGCCTTTGGTTGGCCAAATCTCCTCTGATTGTAGAATATCAACTTTTATATCAATTGCATTTGAATATCTTGATATTAATTGAAATATTATATTTAACCTAATCAAATTTATAGGTTTGCCCACTAGTGCCCAACTTTCGAAAAAGATGAGAGATAACTTGTGCGCTAACAAGCTGTTGATTTCTTTACAAATAAAACGAATAATAAAGATTTTGATTTTTGAATCTAAACTTTAGGTTAAAATTTGAAAAAGTTAAATTAATTGTACAGTAAAATTATCAATTTCAAATGAAAATTTATTATATTTTACAATTAATTTTTCGGATATGTATTCATTTATAAGTGAAAAAACCTCAAGAAAACAAAAAGTAATAAGAATGCCATGAATAATCAAAATGGGTTTTAACTAACAAATTGAAGATGAAGAAAAATAATAAGTTTACTTAGTTGCGAATAAAATTTTGACACATTTATCTTAATCAATCAATATTTTACATAATTTCTCTAACCAAACTTAATACAATAAAGAATTACATATTAATTATTAAAAAATTAGAATTTAATTTTATTTCTATTGAAAAAATATTCAATTAGAAATTTTCATTTAAAAGGTTTTTCTACTTCTGCATATACTACACTTTTCCAAAATTCTTCTTTCATTTAAAGTTACTCTTATAAATCATGAATTGAAAATTTTGATAATTATTGCATTGCATAGGAATAAACAATAAATAGCAAAAATAGGTCAAGAATGTATTTGAAAATCTAAAAGTTGAATTGAGAATTATCTGACAATTAAATAAAATAGTAAATGGAAGATGAAATATAGATTACTTTCAAAAAGGTTTGTTTGAATACTTTAAGCAAATAGGAAAGCACTTGGGAACCAGAATTCTTTATTTTGGATGAGGCAAAGCGTAATTTTATGAAAATGAACTTGCAAATTTTGCTTACTAAAAATAAGGAAGTAAGATATTCAACTTTAGCAGGACTTTTTTTAAGAATGTAAATTTATGTAAATAGAAATATTGATTATGCTAAAGAAATTTTATAATATACCGAATGAGGAAAAATTAGATTAATTAAAATTTTTACAATGGCATGGTCATAATGGATAGGATAACTAAAGGCAAGGAAAATGGACAACAACTTGGGATGGGCAGATTATTCCGTTCGTTGGAGGAATATATAATAGGTCATAAGTTTTGCAAATACTAGACTGTTAAGGTAATAAAAGTAGGGTTTGTGGAGAGAATTGATAGGGAATTTTTGGAGGTATTTACATTATTACTAAATATCATAAACAGTCGTGCATAAGTTTTTGATGTTGGAAGCTATAAAAATAATATGAAAAGGGGATTATGGAAGTATATATCTTATTCAACATCTCTTTGATCAAGTTAAGTATTTTATTAAGGAATTTATAGAGTGTGAGTATTATGAAGATAAGCACAAGAATGGAGTAAAGATTGAGTTGAATAAGGAATTTTAAAAGTAATAACTTTTAATTTTGATTATACAATAGAGACAGTTAAGTTCCTTAAGCTGGCTTATATCAAAATGGCAAGAAAGTAAATAGATGGAACACTTAGGATAATAAAAAATGTACACAGATCATGTATTTGATATTAGTGGAGGGGGATTCTATGATGAATACTGCCTAATAACATGGAAAAATGAATAGATTTGATCTATAATTTCCATAGGTATTATTTTGAATCATTATTACATTAAAAGTAGTGATAAAGAAGTTACAGTTAGGATTATCAAGATTAATTAAGATTAATTCATTCCGTAAAATTTTTATATTAGAAAAATTAAATGGCTATGGATATTAATGCAGCCGACTTCTTTTAGTTGATCGCCACACTTACAATTTTTCAGTTTAGCATCTTAGACTTTAAAGCATTCTTTTAATAACATAAATTTTTCAGATACATTAATATTTTGATGTCAATACATTAATAAATTAAAGGATATTTTATTATTCCAATTTTTAATTGGAAGATTAATATTATTTTTATAATAAAGAAAAGACATGATATTGTTATATTAATTGGTATGATTAATTTTATTATAATAGGATTAGATTTAAACGAATAAGTTCATTTATGTAGTTCTCCTTTAAATTTTTTTCAATAGAATAGAAACCTTTAGATTAATGAGTTTGTTTCTAATTAGCAAGTTGTACCAAAAAATCTTTTCGCTATGGCAATTTGGAAAATTTTAGTTCAGATTCTTTTCATTTAATTCATAAACTCTTAGTATGTTAGCAGTTTTGTAAGAACATTTTTAATCCTTCATAGTCTGGCGTTTATGATAGTTAGGTGCTAGTTAGATTGGTAAAGGAACTCAAAGCTAAAAATTAATTTGTTCTTGTTTTAATTGTCCTACCCAAAAATCAATTAACAAAGGAAAAGGAATCAAGCTTAGATTAATGTAAAATTATGATGGATATAAGGTGCTACTGAAAATCCTTAAATGCTTTTCTGATAATATATATTATCTATAATGACCTCGTCATGTTGATGGTGTACTTGAAGGATAATCTAAGGGTATTTTTAATCTATTTGAGATTGAATCAAACTAGAGGAGATCCAGGAAGTATGATGGCGACGTGGGCCGTTTGGTCAATGCTTTCCTCAAAGTCAA